CGCCAAAGGGCGAGATCGGGTGATCTTGTTCGAATCTCGACAGCTCAAAGCTGAAGAGAAGAACTACACAGTTCATGACAAGGAGCTACTTGCGATCAAGTATACACTTGTCAAGTTCAGGGTTCACCTGCTCGGCTCCAAGCCGTTTGTGATCTACACAGATCATGCTTCACTACGCACTGCGACTCGGTCGCCCCACCTCTCGCAAAGAATGACTAAATGGATATCCTACTTTGCGGAACATCACCTCGAGGTGAAGTATAAGCCGGGAAAGCAAAATGCTTAGGCAGACGCGTTGCCACGCATACCAGACTATGAGCTTGCTCATGTAACAACTGTAACGTCGTCTGTGACGGATTTGATCCGCACCGTGTATGCGGGTGATGGGATGTGTGTAGCGTTGCCAAGGGCTTTCGGGATCAAGGGTTTAGAAACTTGCACAAGACATTGTAACCAAGTCAGCGTTCACGATTGCACCGATATTCGTTAACGGGTAGCTATACTATAGAACCGATTCAACGGATACACCACGAATTGTGGTTCCTCATGATGAGAATTTGAAATACCGCATCCTCAGTGAGGCGCACGACACGCCACTCAGTGGTCATCTCCGTCGTGAGAGAAAGTACAACTCTGTGCGTCACCACTATTGGTGACCCAAGCTGTACGAATGGACGAGCACCTATGTGCAAACTTGTGAGATATGTCAAAGGGTGAAACCCGCTCCAAATGCGGCTGCGCTACTTGCCAGCTTCTCGGTATTCACGGGGTGCTTGCAGCTCATGAGTTTGGACTTTGTGTTATGCCTGCCGAAAGGTTCGGCGGACATCACGGGCGTCGTGGTACACGTCGACCGGTTGAGTAAGATGGCTGATTTTGCGGAGGTGTCAGACACTATCGACGGAGTCGGTACAGCAACGCTGTTTGTATATCGTGTTTTTCGACAACACGGACCCCCAGAGTTGATTGTCTCCGAAAGCGACTCCCGTTTCACGATAAAGGTTTGGTCAACTCGCTTTTAGGTGAGTGGCACCAAGTTAGATATGTCGACAGCGAATCATCCGCAGACCGACGGTCAAACCGAAAGGGCGAATCGCGTCATCGAAGACGTTCTTCGCAGCGCCTGCGCTGAGACGCCAGAGCGCCTTGTTGCCACTCGTAAAGTTTGCGCTAAACAATGCAGTGCATTTGTCTACCAGCTCCACGCCGTTCTACGTGAACAAGCTGGTTCACCCTTGCGTATCCCTGACACCGCCATCCCATGGTTCATAGCTAGGGGAAAAGCCGAACGGGTAGCTGATGTCAGCCCTCTCACCATCTGCAAAGAAGTCGATGACTTCTCGTTTACCAGACTGAGTGTCCTACGACATGTTCGCGATGCGATGGTTGAAAGCCAAGACCTGCAGAAAGAGTATATAGATGAGAAAGAAAAAGGCAAAGTAGAAAGCTTTAAGGTCGGATATCTGGTTTGATTAAATTCTCAAAACCTTCCTACATTTGCAATCTCCGCTATCTTGAGGACGAAGCTTTGTCCACGGTTTCTCGGACTGTTTTTGGTTGTGGTCAAGCGGGGCCTAACGTTTTCGTTGAACCTTCCAAACAAATGCGCACCAACCCGGTGTGATATGTGGGCTTGCTCAAGATGTTCTGGTATTGCAGGAATAGCCTCGAGGCGGACGTCGCCATCTTCCTCTCCCGTCATACCGTTGACGAGGGTGT